CTGTAAATTCCATGCCGCATCTTGGGAGCTTTGTTCACCTGGATGTGCTCAGTGACCAGAGAACCTACATCTAAACCCTTAGGGTCAGCATGACTCTCTGCATTTTTAAGCATGTGCAGTAAAAATTCAGTACTCCTTTTGGGCTACCGACCCTGTATCCAGCCCCACTATTTGGCCTGGGAGCACCGACCAACTCTACCATTATAGCAACAGAATGGCACACATTGCTTCTGCAAAGTGACATCCTTCAGATACTTGGTGGTTTTTCAGATATGCATACGCCTTGATGGCCTGGGTAGTTTTTGTGTGTTCTTAGAGTGAACATGAAGATTTGCATGATTTTGTAGGGTTTTCTGGGTCAAGTGAATAGTGAACCATTTTCAGAGGTCACTTCAGGCCACTTATGGAAGAGGCTAGGCCAAGACTTAATCATATGTCAGTGCTTCTCAAATTTTTAAAAATTATTGCCCCCTCCAAGGAACTTTATTAGATATTTTTTCTAATTGCTCTCCCACAAGAAAAAAATTTTTTTAAGATTTTATTTATTTATTTATTTGACAGAGAGAGAGTAAGCAGGGGGAGCTGCAGTCAGAGGGAGAAGGAGAAGCAGGCTCCCCGCTAAGCAGGGAGCCCGATGTGGGGCTCAATCCCAGGACCCTGGGATCATGACCCGAGCTGAAGGCAGACGCTTAACCAACTGAGCCACCCAGGCGCCCCACCCTAAGAAAATTTAATACCAAAGATATACAATGTATCTTTTTATGTACTGAAACTCTTTGAAGGGCCACACAGCACTGTAATATCTAAGAATTTTTTGGCCTCCAAGAACCAATTTTTGTCCCCTTGGGCATGTTGCTCACATTGAGAATGAATGATCATATGACATTAGATGTTTATATTAGTATGTTTCCCTAAAACTCAGAGACTCACAGAGCTGATAGATTTATACCTTCTGGCGTTTTACAAGAATTTAGAAAACAGAAACGTGGGCATCTGTGTGTATGTATGCATGTGCATATGTGTGGACTTGCATGCAGTAATGACTTGGAAACTGTTTAATAACCCCCACTGGAACTCCAACATGATCAAAAAAGGTCCATTCTCTTTCCACACTCATATCCAGTAAAATTCCCTTTGCTAATTCTTGTATTTAGGCTTGGGCCTGAGGGACTAGTGCATGTGACAGGGGAAAGCAGAAGAGTCATGATGACACAACTCCCTGAGTCTGCCCTTTCCAATGTGAAGGTGGAAGAGAAGACCTTGAAATCTAGTGTTATCTAATCTTGAGACGGACTTGGCCTTCTAACATGATGGTTCCCCAGCATCAAATACGCTGACACCCACCCACCCAGTCTCAGATGGTGCGAATTCCTGTTTGGACACCGAAGGTTTAGGTAAGGACATGGACCTGTCAGTGTGAGACAATTGTGGATTATGCATGAATAGGATAAGCATGAAAAATGTACCCAGTGCATTAGATACTGCAAAAATAGCTCTCTCTTTAGTGAGAGAAAATGAAGTGGATGTTAAATATTGGGAAAGGAGGAATGTCTTTCTAAGAAGGGGCCACAGACATGGGGTCAGCATGCTTAAAGAGAAAGCAGCTGGTATTTGGTAGAACAACTGAATTGCATTTAAGGAGATTTTATTCCAGCTTAGGGTCTGTCCATGGGGATCACAGAGCATTCTTCCACAAGATGGGTGTTTCCTTAAAAATACATGATTCTAAAATGCCCTAAATTCCCTTAAAAACTGTAGAGGTTTTGGGGTACCTGGGTAGCTCAGTCAGTTTAGCGTCTGCCTTTGGCTCAGGTCATGATCCCAGGGTCCTGGGATCAAGCCTTGCATTGTGCTCCCTGCTTGGTGGGGAGCCTGCTTCTCCCTCTCCCTCTGCTGCTCCCCCTGCTTGTGCTTGGCGCTCGCTTGCTCTCTCTCTCTGTCAAATAAATAAATAACATCTTTAAAAAAAAAAGAAAAGCTGTAGAGGTTTCAAAGGCAGCCCCATATCCACACATTGCCCATGATTCACTGAGTATCTTTTGCCTTTGACCCAGAGCCAGCTTTATTCCCAAACTCGATGACCTAGCACTGAAACCTCTGACCCATTTGGTTAACCCACATAAGTTCATTGAAATACAAACAAGCAAATTGGTTCAAAGAGAAGCTGTTCTACTGAATAACATTTTACATTCTGCCAACGTCTTCTTAAATAACTCTTCATGACAACCAGGGAAGATCCTGTTTTCAGGGGAAAGGGAAAGAAATCAAGTTAATTGAATGCCTACTATGTGCTGGGAACTTTACAGACATAATCGTAGTTGCTCTTTATGCTACCCAATGAAGTTAAGTATTATGCTTCCTAGTTTACAGAGGAGGAAACTGAAGGAAAATAGAGGACTTGCTCCAGGTAAAAAAGAAGGAAGAGGCAGAATTCTAGTCCAGGTATGCCCTACTCCAAAGCCCTTAACATTGCTCCACACCATATCACACAATTTTACAACTGAGGATCTGAGGCAGAGAGATGAATGACTTTTTCAAGGTCACAAAGCTATTTTATAGCCTGGATCAGAAAATGCATCTCTATCTGGTACCCCTGAGGTCAAATCAAGGACATTAACAAAAGAGTTGCTTAGCCTGTGTTTGTCAAGATCCTTCTCACTCACCCTCATTCCAACGCCAATGCTTATGTCATGATGAACACTTACCAGGTAGGTTTATTCATTAATTAAAAAAACAAACAAACATTTTTTGAGCACCTAACACTTGCCCAAACTAGGTAAAGCTTTGGTGATGTTAGGATGAATGAAACACTGAGCAGGTAGGATGAACTTGAGGTGTAATAGGGAAATTATACTGAACTAAGGAGAGACAGACACGTAAGAACTTAGATGGAACGATCTGTTACAACTACCAGAAGAGAAGTCAGTGCAGAGAATGAGGAGTCCCAAAGGGGTGTCAGAAAAGTTTTCACAGAATAGGAGACTCTGACCCTGAGTGTTGAAAGATCAGTGTCTGTGAAGGCAGATAAATAGGAGATTCTGGAAGTGGGGAGGGCATGGTGGGTAGAGCAAGCCACAGGAACACAGATCTAAAGGTGTGGGCCAGAATTTGCATAACATTTAAATACCTGAAACAGAGGATCAAAGGAAAACAGGGTACCAGACAATACCAACAGGAGTTTAATCTTTATTCTGTAGACAATAGACAATACTGTGCTCACCGAGACAGAATAAACAGAGGAAACAAGGCAAGTGGTCATATTCTTCAGAGCAAAGGAGATGCAATGTGTGTTTGGAGGTTATTTATCCACATAATTTCTTAAGGCTCTCAAAGCTTGTTTCTACACAGACCAAGAGTGATGCTTCCCAAGTGGTCACGTTCTGGGGACCACCTAGATGGTGGTGCCAGATGGTTCAGACAGATGCTTAGGCTGAAGATGGCTTTTTCCTCTGAGTTAACTTTGTCACCACTGTCACCATCGTAAATCTCAGAAATTACTAAAATGGCATGAGTGGAATATGTATTGCGCTGAAAGCTAAACTTCACCACTAGCTTTCTCTATGTCCTTCTGCATGTCAATTAAACTTCCCCCGGGACTTTTTTTTTTTTTTCAAAATTGACCCTCAAGCAATAAAATACTGCTCACTCCTGACTCCCACAGGCAAACTAGAATGAATTGAAAATTCTCTAAGTTGGATCTGCCACTTCCTTCCCAAACAGGACTCTATAGTAAGAGGACCTATGGGCCTCCAGGGACAGGGAGCTACCATTGTTCCATTGGGTGTTGATCTGTATGCTGTTAGGAAATGCAAATCCTAAGCTCATCAGAAACTCCTCAGGTTTTATAGGAAGGGTGTACCTGCATTGCCTATATCTCTGCGGTAGGCTTGTACTTCATGCCCTCTCTCTACGTATGCATGCCTGGACTTTGCTGTCTTCTTTGTGAACAGAACCATCTCTGGTACCATCCTTGTCATCTTTGTGTTAAACCCCGACCTCAAAATTGATTGTAATTAGGTGGGCAGTGCTTTTAAAACTATAACATGCTGTTCAAATCAATCCCATTCATGGTGTCACTGAAAGGCCTATGAGGGTTGTTTTATTCCAATCACTTTTAAGGCATAGAAAGAAAGTGGAATGAGAATAAAATCAGAGGTGCTCCCATTCATGGAGGTGTAGGGAACCCACAGCTCCTTCCATGAAGCCTTCCTTAGTTCTCTTCCTCAGCAACCTCTGGGGTGGATTTTTTTTTTTTTTGAACCAAAATATCATGTAACATTTAATAATTGCAAATATATTTATTACAATTTACAGATTAAAGCTATATACACAAATATAATTTTAGCTATAAAATCCCAACAAACTGGTTATGTTTATGTCACTGGATCTGTAGAAGCCCATTTAGAGTCTTCTAGTCTCCTAAATTCACCTTCCTTAAGTTATACAAAAATAAAATCTGATAGTTTTAATTTCAAGTTAAAGATGAAGAGGTGCTGTTATCACATTACAATACTCAAAAAATTTTACCTGTCTGTACAATGCCTTTCACATGCTACATTGATACTTAAAGCACCATTGCAAGACTTTAAATGTGTATGACATTCAATTACAACATCCAAGTTTAACTCTGTTCTAACAACTAGGATTGGGATGAAACGACAAGAATTTTTTCTCCATCAGTCCAACTCAGAAACAGCCCCTTCGGTCCTGTCTGTCTAGGGTTGGATTTTAACAGATGCCAAAGGCCCCAGTAAGTACAGTAGGGAAATGAATGATCTAGCTCATACCACATTTTGGGCTAAGGAGGGAGCTGAAGCAAGTTAAAACTGAGTGACTTCCCCAGGTAACACAGCAGGTTCATAAAGAGTAAGACATATGATTAAAACTATATTTATGCATGTTCAATTTCCACGTAAGAGATAAATCTTTGCTTGATTTCAATGCCTCAGCAATATTATTGTTTCTTTCAAAGCTGTACATGGAGGAAGAAATATCATCCAATGGCCCTGAAAAATCATACCAGGGTGTCTGAATTTATTTTTTGTGGACTTACCCAGTCTCAAGAGTTGAGCTTGCTCTTATTTTTCTTTTTATCTGTAGTTTATGTAACAACTGTGTTAGCAAATGTTGCCATCATGGTCACTGTGACCTATGAGTCCCGCCTTCACACCCCCATGTACTTCCTGCTCCGCAATCTCTCAGTCTTGGACATCTGCTTCTCCTCCATCACTGCTCCCAAGGTCCTCGTGGACCTTCTGTCAAGGACAAAGACCATCTCCTTCAATGGTTGCATCACTCAGATGTTCTTCTTCCACCTTCTCGGTGGGGCAGACATTTTTTCTCTCTCTGTCATGGCCTTTGATCGCTACATGGCCATCTCCAAGCCCCTGCACTACGTGACCATCATGAGTAGGGGGCGATGCACTGCCCTCATTGTGGCCTCCTGGGTGGGGGGCTTCGTCCACTCCATCGTGCAGATTTCCCCGATGCTGCCCCTCCCCTTCTGTGGACCCAATGTTCTTGACACTTTCTACTGCGATGTCCCACAGGTCCTCAAACTTGCCTGCACTGACACATTTGCTCTTGAGATCTTAATGATTTCCAACAATGGTCTGCTCACTACCCTGTGGTTTGTCCTTCTTCTTGTGTCCTACACAGTCATCTTGATGATGCTGAGGACTCACACAGGGGAGGGCGGGAGGAAAGCCATCTCCACCTGCACAGCCCACATCACTGTGGTGACTCTGCACTTTGTGCCCTCCATCTATATCTACGCCCGGCCCTTCACTGCCCTCCCCATGGACAGAGCTGTCTCCATCACCTTAACGGTCATCATCCCTGTCCTGAACCCCATGATCTACACCCTGAGGAACCAGGAGATGAAGTCATCCATGAGGAGACTGAAGAGAAGACTTATGTTTTCTGGAAGGGGATAACCTCATTATAGACTGTCGATCAAGATACAAACATAATGGAAAAATGTTCTTAAAAATATTCGCTGTCACATATTGGGACTCAACCATGCATAGACAATTAACTATAGCAGGATGGCACAGACACAAAGGATCAGTGACCTGAAACACTGGTATTGAGAAAGAACACCGACAGGAAGTTAAACAGAAAAACACAGTACTTGCAGAGCAATTGACAGCAAGCAGGTTATAAATGTGAAATATAATAGGAGGTCTTGGGTGTCCCAGCAACAGGGTGAAGGATAGCACTGCGATGTTCACACATGCAGTAGGCAACAGCGACATCTATCTCAACATAGCAGGGCTCCAGCTGCTAGGTCCCAGTCCAGCAATAGTTACCCTATGACTATTTATTAAGCATATACTGTGTATCAAAGACTGCTTGTAAACATTCTTCTCCATCACCTCTGCTTTGTCAGCAACTTTGGGCCTTTTTAATCAATTCACCTACAAAATACACAACAATGTAAACACAACAATGGCAAGAATCCAGAACAGCCTGTCCTACTGTTCATAGCACTGCCTAAGGCATAATAGCTGAAAAAAGAAAAGCTGTATCCAACCCAATAAATACTTTTATTTTTCCTATGTGCACTCCTTTATCATTTCCCTTACCACAGTGTATTAAAATACCCCATAAAACTCCATGTTACTAGATCTGGTTTTCCTTTATATTCCCAGTGTCTAGAATAGTGCCTGACCTGTAAAAAGCTGTAAATGTTGGTTGAATCTGTGGAATGGAATGAAATGAATGTCAGAAGATGCCAAATTCTACTTAATCTTGTCTTTTAGTATTTAAAACTGACTTTGGAGCACCTGGTGGCTCAGTCGTTAAGCGTCTGTCTTCGGCTCAGGTCATGATCCCAGGGTCCTGGGATCGAGCCCCGCAT